TCGAGCTAACCGCGAGAAAAATAACATATCGACAACATCGGTATTTTATACGATCTCCGGAGCGAGAGTGTTTATCACGACACGCGCCGAATTGCGCGGCAAAAACCGGCACGGAGGATCGTTGTCAATACGCGATCGACGTCACTGTTCGACCGTTAACGGATCGGAGAATTCAAATTTGAGTATGCAGAGTGGCAAAAAGGAATAAACGCAAGTGAGAGAACGGATAGGCGCGACTCTTCTATGCCACGCGCCGAGGTCGGTGCGCACGCGTTAGAACGCCGATTCCGTCTGAGTCTACGACGAATCGTCACGGTGTGATCATCGGGATAAATTAAGTAGACTCGTGATAAGACATAGTTAATAGCCGGTTCGGCAAAACATACGAATTTCTAGCTAGGAGGAACATCGATTGAAAGGAATAGCGGCCACGCAGAAGAAGTTCGCGGTGAAGCGAATACGAGCCATGACTTGTTCTATTAACTGGACATTCCGGAGTTGCGTTCAACTCGGACTCTTAGGTCGGAAAGACTGAATCCACCGTCTTAGGCCACCTCTAAAATTGAATTAGAAACGGCTGACGGCTTGGGCAGTACGTTGCGTTAAACGCACTGCTGCAGTTCGTCATCCTCGGGCCCTTCCTGATGCGGTAAGTTACATCGCGCCCTATAAGGTCAGGTCTCGAAGCTTGTTGCTACGAGCTTCCACCAGTTGCGCAGTGTGGAGGGACGAACGTTGAGCGTGATTCTGCTCCGTTTCACAGGAAGGGACTTGTTTGTGAAACCGCTGCATTCATCGATAAATAATACAGTCCACTGCGCAGAGTTCTGCCCAGAAACGGCGACTCATTCCGCACGGGATCGAAGTGCGACGAAGATACTTATCTAATTCGCCTTTACAACATTTCAGGAATACCAAACGTCGAAGAGGTTGAAATGGTACCTGGACGAAGGAAAATCACATAAAGACGAGCACGGATGGCGCCGACTCAGCCGACAACGACCGGGACGGATCATTCCCCGGCAATTCCGGATACCAGGCCCGACGTCCTACGTCTAGAGTGAACTTGGTTTCAAATAAAAGGTGTTAATAGTGCAAAATCAAGTGTCCGGTTTATCTGGTT